TCTGCCGAGTCACCTCAGACACATCGCGGCGTCATCGTGTTTTAAAAACATCACCATTGTGCGCAGCAGCCACCCTATTAGGCCGGCCCACGCGGACATGATCCTTATAATGGCGCCGTAATTATTGTGGATACAACATTGTTGGAGGCTCTACCCTCCCTCCTCCAGCTGCTGGCTGGCTAGCTATCCTCTAGAGGGGGCATCTAGCGCTGTACACAGCTGCTGCTGTAGAGGGAGAGCCAAACAAACACATTTACACACACATCAACACCAATGTTTCGGTGCTCGATTAAGATAACACGACTTACGCGACTAATCTAGATGTCTTCAAAAATGGGCGAAAACAGGGACAAGTAAATATTTCTTTGCAGATGTGTATTTAATTACTATTTTTAGCCCGCCCTTCTGCTTTGAAAAAGCTATCCAGCGGGCTTCTGCAAACGGCCTCGTGTGTGTCTGTGTGTCTGTCTGTTCCACTAGAAAGAGATGTGCTAGAGACTTGAAATTTTCATGGTATCTTAAGGTCCACTCCTAGAGAACGAAACGCCTACGGCAAATCGTGGCAACCACCCCTAAGGGTGTGAATGGGGGTATCCAAGGTTCAAAAATTCTCCCAAAAAGTAATTTTTAATGTGCTCTCTTTTCTTAGGGCCGTTTTGCTCTATCTCTAACCGTTTAGGCGCTAGAGGGTCTTTTTGGACGAAAATAAGCTAAAAATTTCTATAGTGAACAATAAGTTCTAGAAAAAGGCCTACAAACCGCAAAATCGATTATGTTCTTCAGCAAATCGCGTGACAGAAATGGTCGGGCCACAGGCCCGACCATCACCGCCGGCAGGCCAAGCAGGCCCGGCCCCTGCCTAACGGAGTTGCCGGCGGAGCGAAGCGGAGCTGGCAACTTCGTTTGTCGGAAGGGCGGGCCTGCTTGTTTAAATCATGAAGGCACAATCAGGGGCGGATTGAGGTCCGGCTGACAGAGGGGGGGCGATGCATTGTGGGTTGCCTACATACATGGATTTTTTTGGTGCGAACTGCCTACCTTTAAAGACGCTATCATATCAACAGAATAACTGAGTACCATCTTATTATTTGGCAGTAATGCACGGTAAAAATGATGTCTCATCTTTTGAGGGAAAAGGGAACCTTTTTCCTATTTTTGAGGAAAACTCCTCCGGTCACGCCTTAAGATTATAAGGAATTTCCTCAAAAAATTCTGAAAAATCTTACGTTTTTAAGGAGACCTCCTCACAATCTGAGGATTCGACGCGTCCTAACAACAATGTTCTATCTGCAGAGTGCTTAATACACAATTTTCTATCTGCATAACGCGGGTTTCGGGACACCTCTAAAGAAATGCTTAGTACTCCGTAACCGATCGTTCTACTACTTCACTTTTTGAAGTCGATAATTAAAAATTGGACCTATACGATTCTTTCCGTGTGCGAAGATTGGCCTTAATGTTTCCCAAATACTTGCAAACGACACAAAGGTGAAGGGCTGCGCCCAACCCCGTTTTGCAGATAGAACATTGTGTATTCTGCACTCTGCAGATAGAACATTGTGTATTCAGCACTCTGCAGATAGAACATTGTGTATTCAGCACTCTGCAGATAGAACATTGTGTATTCAGCACTCTGCAGATAGAACATTGTGTATTCAGCACTCTGCAGATAGAACATTGTTGTTAGGACGCCTCAATTTTTCCTCAAACTAAGGGAGTTTCCCAAAGTTTTTCCTTTTTATCTAAAATAATGTGACATCGTTATTACCGTGTGCTGTTTGTCGCGTACAAAAAAGTACTACCTTTTTTGGACTCTGCAGTTAACACTATAGTTTTCTACACTAAAACTACACTTTTTCTTCAGTATAAATGCCTTAGCTGGGACACTATAGTTTGAACTACAGTTAGTTTAACTGAGGATCCTTCAACCCGGGAACAGTTTGGCACAGAGAATGTATACTGTATGTACAAATACTGAGTCTATAAGCTCGCCATTTGATTCCAAGTCCGATAGGTAATCCTTGCAAATTTACAAACCAGGAAAATGTTCCTGTATACCCATTATACGACGATTTTTCAGTGCATGACAGAGTTAATACTAGGGAACTCAATAACCAGTTTCTTTTCAATTTTCACAAACTTTCACACTGATCTTGTTAAGCAATTAGATTTGCAGCGTATGCACGTTTTTCTTGGGTTTCAGCCAAAAGTAGCAGGAAACAGAAAACGACGAAAATAAGGCCGGTAGACAAGAGGCCGACAGTCACAATGACTCTTTAAATATAATTTGCAGGAATGGCCCTCGGGAGGGGAGCCTCGAGATGGCCGCGGCCCCGCCCTTATCACCCCTCTCTCATTTGCTCTCTCTGGCGTTAGCCTTGGCGTTAGCCCAATCACAAAGATATTAGTTAACCTTAAATTGGGTTGCAAGGAATAATGGGAGAGGGACGCGCTGCAGAGGCGCGCGGCCGAAAAGTGGCAACCAATTTAAATTCTCCTTCTAGTTCCAACACGTAAGGAGCGGTGGTACTTAGAAGATAAATTGTGCCGAGAAAACGTTAAATACGCAAAAAGAATGTCTCATTAATTTTTTCTAAAAACTGTTGAAATGCGCACCTCCTGTACTGAAAGACACAAAAACTTAACAGGTACTTCGCTACTTATTTGCCCCAAATTATTTGATGATTTTCGCCTTTTCTCCCCTAAATAAAAATCTATCACAAAAGTAACAAAAGGAGATGCTATATTATGCCTATCATAGGCTCGCGCTTCAGGCGACCTTCAGGAAGCCATCGGTAGAGAAAGGGGGTCCCTCTGACACTTATTCGGAGGAAAGGCGAGAGCGTGCCGAGGGTTGGTTGACAGGGGGTGCTGGGCTGAACCCTTCGCCGGGCCCTTCAGCACGTCTAGGTCCCGCGAGCCACTTGACGTCTCGAGGACTGGTAGCCTGCCCCGGCAGCGGCAGAGCCGGGCAGAGCCCTCCCCTAGGGGTGGCGGCTGAGGGTTGCCCTGGGGTGTGGGCCGGGTGTGCTGCTCCTGTGACTCCATCCACACTGCCACCGACCGCCATATTCAGAGGGAAGCACACCTCTATTGTAGACTACTGAAGAAAATGAGCCCGTTATATAGGACTTTCTACTCGAAAATCGCACGTTATTTAAGCGCAATCTACATCCATCGTGGACTCAGCGTCATGACGCTGGCTGCAGCCAGGAAGGGCTGGACTCCGGTCCAGGGGTCCTGACAGCGAGCTTCAGCGACATACGGTGGCGGGGATGTGGAGCGGGGAGCTATCGCACGACAATCTGGCCAGCACAGTGACAAGGCGCTGTAACAACGCCATGCCGCACCACGCCAAGCGGTGACGCCATATTGAGCGCAGTTCACTCACTAAAAAACGAGCCGAGTGGAACACTGTCATTTGACACAAATCGTCCGGATAAGTACGTAAAACATTTTTGAAAATGTGAGCTCACGAATAATTTTGTCATATGTTTCTGACAGTAAATTTTTTCCTCAAAATTTAATCTGTAATGACATACTTTTTTTCAAATATGAAAAAAAAAAATTGCTAGTGAAAACATTAGAATTCTTTAATTTTAAAAGCGGAAATTACCTACCAACTTGTCGATTATTCCACACAGTTTCGTTAAATAGACACATACTAGTAAAATTTCAATTTGACAGCAATGTGAATAAAAAAATAAGGCCTCTTCCTGAAGACCGAAAAACTACCGTCAGTATTTCTCCTGTTTAGAATTCCAACGTAATATTACTGACAAAGTGCAGCCAAAATTCAGTAACGGGATAGGAGCGTGCTGTAGTGAAAGAATTTTACATAGAACGTAGTGTACACTGTTAAAAAAATGCTGGGATTTCATCCCAAAGGACTGCGTAGATTTCACTGTATAGTTTAGCTTTGAAACACACAGATGACTAATAACTCTCTACCTTTAACAGCTACTTTTACGACGTGAAAACTATATGAACGGAGACCTCTGGAAATTTCTAGTTGTGGTTGAGAGTGAATCTTCAGTAAATACAGGAAAGTTTTTGACAGAGTATATCGTATGCCAGGTCTCAGAGAAACAGAGCTATGCGAGTTTTATGAACCATCTCCACCAAAAAGGTACCATGCCCATAGGGTAGGCAAACCTGAAACATTTTTTGACAAATTTTACAAGATACCTGATTTTAGTATAAGAGAAAATTGCCCACTTGAATTTTTCTCTACGTACAGATGCGTCCAGCGAATACTGGGGCCACGAATGAGAACCTCTCTGTCACCGACAATGAGACGTCCTGTATGATTGTAGGTTATAGGATCAAGGATTCGTCTATTCAGATATGATTTGTGGAGAGCCACACCGTTTCTTATTCCATTACTTGTCGCCACTCTGCAGCTGCTCATACACTGCGCAAAACAGGCCACATGATGTAGTATTAACACGGCATAGACAGAGCAGAGATGTAATGATTTTTCAACACATTCACTCACATTCAAGTGCTTGACGAACGAGTAGGTATAAACGTCTGAATATGGTTGAATTTCACTGATTGAATCATGGGCATTTGAAATTGCGTTGATATACAGAAATACTATACGCGGCCGGACCTTTAGCAGCGAAACTCACAGCGTGGCTCGGCTGAGCTCGGCGTCCAATTGCCGCGCACAATGAGGACGTCTAGACGCGTCACTCCCACTTCCCGCCTGTCAAATATCACACCCTGCTTATTTTTATTTTATTATTTCATTTCTGCTGCGGCCTCCTGCCGTCGGGTGAGCGTGCCCTCCGGCCCCGGCACATCAGAGCGCGAGTCTCCGACTGGACATCTTGTCTCATTCGCGGCGGGACCCGGCGGCTTTCTTTTTTTTTTATCGCCTAATTTTTTGTTAAGCGGGCTTGTAATGAAATATGTTTAGTTGTTTACGTGTTACGCCCCCCCCCCTCCTTCCCCTGTTTCTTCCTCTCACCAGTCTCTTAACTTTAAGCACCTACCTGTTAAACTGGATGCCGTTGCTTTTTCGGAGCCAATCAATTTTCGCGAGCCCCCTAGTCTGGACTTGATACCGCACCTGTAAAAATTCACGCAATAGGTAACCAATCAGTCAGTAATTCCTGCTGCATAAAAACCTTCGTACGTAGATACCTATAGAAATAAAAAGGAATAAGTCGGTTTAGGCCTGAGAGTGCGGCGGCTGTCGAATCCGCAAGGAAGAATTCTATCCAAGACTGAAGGCAAACTATATTTTATTGAGTGGTACGCGATCCTGTGAGTAAAATGTGAAAGGCTAAACCTCTTATTCCTCTCTTATCAATTGTAATTTCAAACTCACAAAAATAAACAAGCTCCGAAAAAGTGAACTTTTGTAGAGCATTGCCTCGAAAACGGAAACCACTCGAGGTATATGCAAGAGAACAAGTGAAGGCGAGGCGACGGGCGCAGCGGCGACAGCACAACTCGCACCACTCGCCTGCATCGTCATTAAAAGTTTGTCGACAATTTTTATTATTCGGAGCCTGCTCTAATGGTTACCTGTAGTGGCCATGTGCTCCACTCGGGGTTACGCTGTGCACTCGTGAGGCCTTGCGCAGGGGGTTGACCCCTCTCTTCATCGGAGAGGAGACGCAGAGATGCAGAAAAGGCAGCCACGATGAGACTGGTCTAAAGGGTTCACTTTTGATGGGGTGGTCATCGAGTCCCTGGAGTGACTGCGCCCGCCAGCACGCTGGAGCAGGAACTTTTCTACTCGCAGACGCGAAAAGTTATATTTTCGCCACTATTAACAAGGACTCGCCGGGAAGACGCTGACGAGCTCGTCGAGTACTTTATTCCTACTAAAGCGGGCGCAGGGTGCACTTTTTGGAGCAGCACACAATAATTATGAAAAGTTATCGACATGAGGCCGTCCTGAAAACGTCGCTGCCGTTGCGAGTCGGGGTACAAAAGGCCGGTGACAATGAGTCAGACTACAATACTGCCCTCGCTGGCTGCACTCTGTAATTGGCCGGGCGCTGCTGCAGAACGGCATGCTCTGCACCCCTACTCCCCCCCCCCCCCCGGCACCCTACACACCCGTGCTGAAATATTTACTGTAACAAGTTTAAGAAATAAAAACTGATCACTATGTTTAACATTTTTATTTTAAGCAACGACACTAACAAACTATTTAAATGCTTTGAACATTTGGAAAATATGAATAAAAATCCAAAAGTAGAGTCAAAAGGTTTCATACGTTGTCAACACATACTGGTAAAAGTGATTGGTATGAATATTTGGTCTCCGCCTTAGTCATGCACATCGCAGGCCGAGCACGTCCCGCCGGCACGTTCGCGTAATGCGTTCGGATGACAATAGCGCTCCCCTCCCGGCTCCCCTCCTCACTCCTCCCTTCAGCAAATAGAGTTGTAGTTAGCCTTCTGTTGTGCTTCCCCTAACCCCCTTCTCCCCATTGGGTAAGGTTGCATTTGGGATAACGCGCTAAAACATGTCTGCCATTGTCCGATATTCAAAATGGCGCCGTATCGAGTCTTCTGAAACACGGAAGAGTACTTGGCTTCTGCAGCAGGGAAAATTGGAGACTCGGGGAAATAAGATCGCTCCAACGTAACAAAATGGTGGAATTCATTATTCGGAGCGCAAAACCAGCAAAGGAGCCATAAAAGCTTCAAAAACCACAAACGCTTGCTAATTTAAAGGAACCCTGAGCCGACCATTTCATACAACCCTACAGTAACGCAGGAACATATTTAATAGGTAGGGAAATTAAAGTAAAACTTAACCAGAGCAGTCGTTCACATATTTCATTAAGCAAGTTTTGGGTGAATTTGACCCCCCCCCCTCCCCTCTCAGTTTCGGGATAGGCCGACACGCGGCCAGAGTGTTCCCTCCTCCCCACCCCTTCAGATGCGTAGTGACCACCCGTGCACTGTTAGAAAAAATTGTCAAATTATGACGCACCTATGATAAATATTTTGTTAAAAAACATCATTACTTTTCATCATAGACATTGTGCAAGTTGTGATTTTGCACATTACATGGTGTTTAACTCAAGTTGCACACTTGCGTGGTGTGCAAATTTTAGCCGTTTCGTAAACGTTTACTTCTGCACACTTGGACACACACAGTTCTGGGCAAGACCACAAACCAATGAAAACAAGTGAAAATTTTGTTTTTACCGAATCTCGACGAAAAAAATAATGTTATTATACTGAGTGTTTGGCAAACATATTTTCGATAGCAGTTCACTTTTACCTAGTAACGTCTACTGTTAAAAAAATAATTAAAGGTGTTACACGCGACTGGAATTTGAAAATACGGAAAACCAATGGTTGCCTTGTACTTTGTACTAAACACGTCATTTGTCGCCTTAGGCAAAAAATTTCTACTGTTTCGGCGTATCTCTTGAGGTCTTTGAAATAGTTGGAATTTCCTTGAAAAACGTCAATATTTTTTAAATATCCTCCCAATCAGCTTTTAATGAAGTTTAAAAAATATCTTTCGGCCTCTTTCGGGCGGGACACAGTTTTCTACTAAGGTATTGTTGGCTGACCTAACAATTTACTTCGTATTCGGGACGAAAAACGGCTGATTTTCCTTGTGTGTCCCCCTTTTTCTTGCGTCACGGACACTTAACATTATATTGCAGGCTACTAACATCTCAGAATCAAAACCGCCAACGGGGTATTGTTGAGAACATCAGGAAATTTCGCCCGAAACACATCTATTTCGGATTGGCATATTTTTATAGGTAACATCATGTCAAAAACCACGCACCTAGATGTAAGTGCGTCACGCAACGCACACGCAAGTTTGAAGGGCTCTACATTTAATACAAATCATGCTACAGCGTGTTTGAATACCTTAATACATCCGCAGCTAGATTATTAAATCGTTCAAATAAAATAACACCATCTTTAAAGTTCTATCTTTAAAGTACTTTAAACTTCTAAAAGTTTCAGTTTTGTTTTGCAAGGCAAAGGAAGAACGTCCTCCTGCTCGATGAGCGCTGCATATCGTGTCGAACCATAAGAAGAGGGACATCGTCACACACGCATCCGAGTCGGATAAGTCTGCCTGTAAGAGAGATGTGCTGGATAGTCTCATGTTCTGCAAATCACCGATCATAATGCATATGACGAAAAAGGGCTCGACGCGTGTCCGTCTCATCTTGTCACACACTTCCTTGAAGCAGCAAATTGTCCGCATTAATCCGATTATGCTGCGTTATTCTGTCTGCCTGTCTGCCGCGCCCCTCCCTCGATTTTACCATCTCAACTTCCTCTGCTCGGTCTCTGCCCCACCCACCCCCTCCTCTCCCCTCTTTCGCCAGCCTTTTTCTTTCCTATTTTGAGTCCGCCTTGGAGCTTGATGTCAGTTCGTTCTTTTTGGCAGTGTAACGGCTCACTCACAGCATCAGGTTGAGGTGTGAGGAGACAGGATACAGGACGGGTTTTCAATACAGTCCTATCGGATCAGCGATTACAACCTCTCCTTGTTTTTGAGAGATGAGTGGTGGACAGGACATCTCTTGATCTGGAAGGATTTTAATACCAAGAAATGGAACCCAACACAGTTGTCTGGGACTTCGGCATTTCTCTTCAAGTGTCAAATTTAATAAAGAAGCAAACTACTACTTTAAAAATGTGAAACGATTAATACATGACCTATAATTTAGCGTTTTCAAGAAGTAAGATATACTCACTGTATTAGAATTTTTTTAAAAATAATACTGCTGAATGGAAAACCACTGTATGTTGATAACCCTTAACGAGCTATACCAGCGGGCTTCCAGCCACGTACTTTGCGTTGGTTTATCTTCAGCGTTCGTACACACACGTGCCGCATACCAGGGGAGGGGGTGGCCTAGGAAGAGTGTGTAACAGCACAACGCCGCACCGCCCGGTTTGTTGGTAAGATGTTGACTGTGTCCCAAAATTTCAGCTTAAAGCTCAACTTTACGAGGAGTGGTAGCGATCTCAGAGCTTTTTTTTCCGTAGCCGACAATCGACCATTCCAAGACAGCGGTTCGTTGCTTAACAATGGGTTTACCCAGATATACATAGTCTGTGCATTGTCCCTCGTCTCATGTATTAAGCTGGTTAAAAATGACAAGATTTTATTTTTCTGAACTAAATTTTTTCGTTGCCTGTCAGATGTAACTTTTATTTCAGACACGAAATTTTCGTTTCATTTAGTAACACTTCCACGAAAATATGCGGTTCTCTGAAGAATCCCTGCTGTAGCCCAAAACTGACCCCCAAAACTGACGCCCAAAACGAAACCTTTATTCTGATTTCGACAAGGATTTATAGTTTCTAAAATTATAAAGTGGAGTTTTTTACAGTTACCTGTCACTTAAATGTGATTTACATAGACACTCCTACGCCAGTCGAGACGGCGCAAATGCGCCTCCGGATCTACTTGAAGAAGACCTAGACTAGATTTTCGTATGTAAATGGAGTTCTTCTCCCATTCAGATGGAGTTCCCGATGCTGACCCTCTGCGGCTTTTCTTTCGCAGATTATACATTTACCCAAATCTTATCAAGCCAGAGAAAGAGAAGTGGTAGTGCTGCTCCTCCTCCGCGAACGGAGAAAAGGGAGGCGGTGTAACAGGATTAAATTAGGTTGCGCGTGGGACCGTCGCCACCACAGCTTCAATGAAACGCCTTTGTCCAGAGAAAATGTCCTCCGAATAACGCACAGCAGCGGCCACAAAGGCGAGTTACAAGTAGAATAAACAAGCAAACAAACAACACGCACTGTGGGTGCGCCTTGAATGAAAGAAGCCTCTCCTCTTTCTCCCGCATAAGGTGTTCGTTCTTTATTTTCCACCTTTTGTCCGTAAAGTATGCTCCAGTTTCAGTTGCTGTTGCCTGTGGTCTGACCCAGGTGGGAGGTGGTTGGCGTATCCTAAGGTGTGAAAAATGCAGCAACGGTCATAAATAGTATTAGTGAGAAATAAAAGCACTACTTCCGGCAGTGAAATTTTCTTCCACATTTTTTGCAAGGTGTGCTGTATTTTACAGAGGAAACAAAAAAACAAAAAACGATGGACCATTAATACGTGAAA